AATAAATGGCAGACAAAAACAATCAGCAGGTAAATTACGATACATCCATACTCAGCAATAAAAGGAATGAACTGTTGATGCAACACGAATGAATCACTAAATAATACTTAATGAAAAAAGCCAAACACAAAAGAGTATGTGCTATATGATTCTGTCTTAGTTCGTCTGGGCCACTGTAACAAGGCAGGGTAGACTCAGTGGCTTATAAGCAACAGAAATTTATTTCTCACAATTCTATAGGCCGGGAAGTCCAAGATCGAGAGACTGGCAGATTCGCTGTCTAGGAAGGCCCTGCCTCCTGGGTCACAGACAGCTGTCTTTTTACTGTATGTGTCTTTAAATGGCAGGAGCGGCAAGGGAGATATCAGAGGTCCCTTTTATAAGGGCACTAATCCCGCTCTTGAGGGTTCTACCCTCATAACCTAATCGCCTCCCAAAGGCTCTACCTCCAAAATACCATAACTTTAGAGGTTAGGATTTTAACATATTAGTTTGTAGAAAATACGAACTAATCTTTAGTGACAGAAAGCTGATCATCGGTTGCCTGAGGACAGCAGGGTTGGGGAGAAGGCAGGGATTATAAAGGGGTGTGAGAAAACTTTTGGGGATGTTTTTGGATGTATGGACTATCTTGATTGTAGCGATGGTGTACTACGTCAAACTTATCAAAATGTATACTTTGTGTGCAAGTTGTCCTATGCCAATTATAGCTCAAAAAGCTGTTTAAAATAAAGAAAAGCAGTAAAATAGTGATTCTCACGGAAGCTTCTGAGTCCTCAAAGTCTGCTGTCTCCTCTGGAGCTCCAAATCCTGGGGTGAGGTTCAGCCTGGGAGGGTAAGGGGACCTGTGGGCTCCAAGAGCATCGTGGTCTCCATCACAAGGGAACAACCCAGTTTAGCATCTCTCGTTCTGGAGTCAGGCGTGTCCTCCCTGTGGGTAAACCTCAAGAACCTGCCCCTACTATTCTCCAACCACGTGTACCAGCAGCGCCCACAATAAACCATGTTAACACCCTTGTGTATTTTCTGTTTTTCTCGCTAGTCATATAAACCATCTAGAAGTATCTGCATGTCCACATTTGGGAATTTTTGTCCATTTTACAGAAAATGGATTCTATTGTATGTAGTTTTTTGAGCATTATTTTCCCCATAGCTGCTGAAACTCTAATCCATTTTGAAAGGGCGTGTCTTGTTCCAGGGTGTATTTGTCCCAACGTGTATTCAGTCATTGCTCAGCTGGTTTCCTCGTTAGCTCACGTTTGGGCCATTTGGTTTTCTTGAAAGATGTTATTGTTTTATTTTTTACACGTGAGTCTTTAATCCAGCTGGAATGTCAGCAGGTGGTACATTTTTTTCCTTCAAGTCGCTATCCATTAGGCATGCCTCGTTTGTTAAAGATCCACCATTTCCCCATGGAACTGAAATACCACTGTGATCATATAGTCCATTTTCATCTATAGGGCAACCTGATTCCAGGTTCTCGTCTGTTCCATCAGACTCTTCATCCCCATTGCTGGACCATAGTCACTCTGTCCCCAACTCACTGTCTTTCACAGATTTCTTGGCTATTCCTGGACATTTATTCTGACATGTGAATTTTAAGATTATTTTCTTCCCTTCAAAAACACACAAACCCTGTTAGGATCCTAACGGACTCTAATGCATAAAATTTATGTATTTGGAGAAAACTAAACTTATTTGTGAGAGTAAATCTTTCCATTAGTTCAGGACTTATTTATAAGCAACAAGTTTTAGTTGTAGAGATAAAACAATAAACAAAACTGATCAAATTCCCTGCCTCTTGGAGCTCAAATTAGAAGACGGTTTCTTTTTCCATTTCGGGTCTTATATTGTGTCTTTTAACAAGACTGGGCTCTAATTTGATTGAACTCAATCTGCAAAATTCTAGAGGAAGCCAAAACTGGAAGTTTTAGGATCGGAAAAGATTTGGCTTCATATGTGCTTGTGTAACACGGTGTGAGTAAGGGACACTGGATCCCAGATCCCAGAGAAAGAAGGACAACAGACATCACGACCAACCTTGCTTTTATTATTATTTGCCAATAGTCTATGGAGAATGAGTTGATAATGTTATTTTTTTATACTATCTTTAGATTTTAGAAATAAGTATATTCTGAGACTAAGAAAATGAAGAGCTTTTCATCTTTCGCCTTGATTTTGAATTAAAAAACTATTACGCATATATATAAATTTACATGTAGTTTATAAAAACCATTAACAAAGTTTCAATAACTTTGGAATTATATGTCTTTTAAAGCCTTGCCACTTCAAGTGTGGTCCATGGACCACCAGCAGCAGCAGCATCTGGAAGCTAGTTACAAAGGCAGATTCCTGGGGCCACCCCAGGCCTACCAGGCTGGAATCTGTGTTTTAATGAGACTCCTCTGGTGACCCTTACACAGATTGGGAAGCCCCTGTCTTCAAAACTAGATAAATCTCAGCTGTGGACCATGCGGTCCTGGCCCTTGAATCACCTCTCTATGGTCTTCTGAGAAAATTGGCCTTTTCATATTTTCCCCTTCTGGTCCTGGGTCCAGGTTGATAATTCATAGTTATCTAGAAAATCATTTCCTCCAGGTTCTCATATTCTCATATAAGTAGTCATAAACGCTTAAATTCTGTCACTCCTATATCTATGGTTACCCCCCTTGCATGTGACTGGAACTCTTTTTGCCTTCTGCCTGTTTAATCACGCTTACAAAGGCTTTATGCATTCTGCCACAAGCATTTTCCCTGATGTAACATTGTCTTCCATTTTATTATAAAGGCTGCACAATGGTCCACCCACTGGCTATAACGAATGATGTCATCATTCCCCGACTGGGCGTTTAGGCGATTCCCTATTTCCAGTAGCACAAATAAAACTGCCCAGAGACCTCTACCCCCATCCTAGATAGTAGCGTAGCAGCACATTGAATCCTTAAGGTGGTCACACGCTTTGATGACACTTCCATTCTACGAATTAATTTTCATCTCAGCGTTGTTACGACAGTTTCAAAACAGAACAGAGAAGAAGATGGAAGCAACTTTGGTGTTCACCAGCAAGAGCGACTTAAATGAGCGGAGGCCTTGCCGCCCAGTGGAGCGTTAGGCAGAGAGGAAAATTTCCATGGTGTCATGAGAAGTGCGATAGGTTAAATTCAGCCGATATGTTAAATGAGAAGAAGCCGGTTATAAAATGGAACGTATACCAGGAGGTCATTTTTGTTTTAAGAATCAAATGCACATTTGCCTGTGTGTATTTGTAGATAGGAGGTATGAGAATTTGATTTCTGCAGCCATTTGAACGTTGTCCTAGAGTCCTGCTCATCTGTGTGGTTCCACCCCCGTCTGCTAGCGAAGTCTCCCTTCTCAGTCCTGCTTCTGTGGGCCCGAAGGTGTTCAGAAGCTGCTGAGACCCAGAGACTGTGCAGTATTTGGAGCCTAGGGGCTATCTCGGGATGGCTGTGAGAAGGCAGCAGTGTGGTGGCTGGTCCTCTAGGCCCTCCTCTCTTGCAGGGGACAACATGATGGGCTAGTTTCCCCAGATCGTGTGTGACCACCACAGTTGGGCCTTGAGCTTCCTGGGAGAAGGAAGTATCATAGCATCATTGATCAGCCCAGTGTCACAGTGTCCAGGGCCCAAGGAGCTGAGCCTGATGCCCCCAGGAGACCTGGTGAGACCTGGAAGCACCCTTTTTCAGGAGTGGGGGTCAGGCAACGGGGTGGCACGTGGTGTGAATGGGGTGCTGCTACATTCTGTGGGGCTGCCTCAGCCCAGTGTCACAGTGTCCAGGGCCCAAGGGGCTGAGCCTGATGCCCCCAGGACCCCTGGTGAGGCCTGGAAGTACCCTTTTTCAGGAGTGGAGGTCAGGCAAGGGGGTCAGGCAAGGTGGTGTGTGTGAATGGGGTGCTGCTACATTCTGTGGGGCTGCAGGGTTTAGATGTGGCCTTCTCCAGCTGAACTTCATTTCCCCACCATGGGGAGAGGGGCTGAGGGTCGCGGTTGATCCTGCTCAGCCCAAACCTGCCCATTTCCCAGCCCCACCCCAGGGGCACTCTCTGCAGCATCCTCTACCCTTCTCTGCCACCAGTGGCTGCTGTCCTGGTTTCAGGTGGCCCGGGGGCTGCAGTGTGCATTGTAGGCAAGTCGACCAATTTCCCATAGACAGTTTTCTCACTAAATGTTGCAGATGACGCATGCAGCTCGCAAGGCAGTTCTGAGAGCTGAGGCTGTCTGGGAAGTGGCCTTCATAAATGACATTGTCCTGGGCCTCCCTCTATGACTAAAAAGCCCATTACCCCAAGGGATTCTCCACCATGGCCCCTCAAATGAGAGACAGATATTTCTGTATCAGATATTTTTCATATTTCTGTATCACAGACTCTTGAAGGAGGAGCATGCCAGGGAGAGGAAAGGGGCAGTCATCCATTGACAAGTACTCGCTGAGCCACTATGGTGTGCCCGGCACTGTTCTCAGGGCCGGATGCATCAGCGATCAAGACCGAGGTTGGCTGGTGGACCAGATGCTTGTTGCGAGAGAGCGCGAGAGCCAAGGATGACAGCAGGTGTGGGGAGGGATGAAGTTGCCATTAGGTGGGCTGGAGGAAGGGCAGGTTTGGAGGGAAGCTACTGAGTGTGCGACACCCTTTGGACATCCATGAGAGGTGTCCAGGAGGCAGTCTGATATGCAAGTGTTCGGTTCAGGGAGAGGTTCTAACTGGAGCTTTATGATAAAGGAGGAGGCATAGAGGAACTAAAGGCAGTTGAGGAGGCTGGGGACAGATTAATCTGCCTCCCCGAGCCTCCAGGGCGGCCCTCGAATGGCCCCCCTCCGCCCTAATCCCATGTTTCCCTCCATCGTCCCTGCCCTGACCTCAGGGACCGTGGGTTCCGTGAGGCATGGTGAAACCGCCCACAGGGCCTGCCTCGTTGGTCTCCTCGCCCCAAGTCCAGCCAGTCCAGCTCTAACATTTTGTTCATCCACTTACTCGCTTAGTCATTTATTGCAGAAACATTTTATTGAGCTTCTCTCTTATGGTTCTCTCCAGAGGGCAGACTGAACCCCTTGGAGGTGCCTCGCTATGTGAAGGGACATATTGTCACCATGACTGGGAAGGGGGCAGGGGTGCTCGGGGTCCTGCACAAAAGGAACTGTCCTCCCAGAATTCCAGGGACACCTGATTGAGAAAGTCATTCCACAGCCACCTGCAGCTGGCTCAGGAGGACCCAGCTACGAGCAGACACAGTGCTGTCTGGCTGGCGGCACGGCAGACAGTGCAGCGTGGTTTTGAGATAGTGAATGCTCAGATGAGGGAAGGACATTGGTGCCCGGGGGAGAGCCGGGAGGCTTCTTGGAGGAGGTGACTTTGGAGCTGTGCTTTAAAGGGTAATAGGATATACAGACACAGGATGGGCAGGAATTCTAGGGAGAGGGGTGTGCAAAGGCAGAGGAGTGTGGACAGGTTCAGACCATCCTGAGGGCAGCAGAGGGGATGGATAGGTGGGAAGAGGAGGTCATGGTGGGGATGTGGGACCTCCCTTCCCTTCTCCAGCCCTAGAAATTACTCAGGATATTGGCGATGATGTCATACTTGGCTCTCTCGTACATGTCCCTGACCGCAGGCGGCAGCTTGGAGGTGTCAGCCCCCGCAGAGGCTGTCTTGGCGGACTCGGTGGAACGCTTCTCTCGGAACGTCTGCAGGAGTGATGCTGGGTGGTCACTCCTGTCATTCTCACTGATTGACCCCCTTTTCTGTCCTGCCTATGGCCCCTTTCCTCAGGCCAGGCCGAAGAGGCCCAGAAAGCAACGTTGGTGATGGGGCTGGAGGTGGTCCCCTCAGGCCCTTCCCCTTGAAGCCCTAAGGGTCTGAGCTGGCCTGGACTCTGGGACACACTCCCACCCTGGCTGTTCCACCCATCGGCCAGGGGGCTCCACCCCTGGTTTCAGTTTTCCCAAATGTGGGATGGGGAGGAGGGTCGGGTTCCAGGAGTCTCTTGGGCCCAGTGCAGGGCCAGTGCCCTGAGAAAGCCGAATCCCTGTCCCAATGCCCTCCCAGCCCCGACCACCGGTCCCTCCTGCCCGCCTCCTGCCAAATGACTAGCCGTCCTCAAGATCCCTCCTGACAACTTGCATGGAGAAGGGCTTGATCAGCTCCGTTCTCCAGATGAGGAACTGAGGCCCCACGCGCCCAAGTCACTGGCTCACCTCAGGCTGGCGCAGGGGGCCTGGGCGGCAGTCGACCAGCAGGATGCGGCCATGCCCCATGAAGAAGATACCAGTGCAGTTCCGCTCCTCCTGCAGGGCAGCGAGCACAGGGGCTGGGAGCACCCTCACTTCCCCGTCCCCGGCCAAACACACCCACCCCACCACCCGCTCCGGCACGTCCCTCATCCTCCCAAACCAGAGATGCAAGCCGAGGATTACCCCAGGGCCGAGGAAAGGCCACTGACAGAGAGGACCCTCGTGGACCAGACGAGAGCCCATCAAGATAAAGGACATTCGGTGGGAATAAGCATCATTACGTTAGCATCAGAGGAGCCGTGTTGGTTTAAATGTGTGTGCACATAACAAAGACAGACGATGACGCACCCACAGTTCCCGTTATCTGTCCCTGGGTCCTGAGGCTGGAGCCGATATTTACCTTATTTTATTTTGCTTCTCCACATTTTGTTAATATGCTATCACAAACGTTATTTTTCTTATTTTATAAAAGCAATTATCTCTAGGCAGATTATGGTCCTGCTTTGTTTTTTTTCTATCGAGCATTTTTTTTTTAGCATGAGTTGCTAAAAAAAAAAAAAAAAACGATCGATAACAATTTATAGTAAGAAAAAGCAATAAGGAAAAAACCGATTTTTAAAAAGGCTTCCATAGTGAGACCCCACGTGGCCAGGTGAGGTGGGTGGAGGCAGATGCCCAGGCTGGGAGACTCACCCCGTCTGCCTTGAATGCGCATTCTCGGGGTTCTCTCCGCCTCCCTGAAATGCACACCGTCTCTTTAATCCTGAAGCTGAGCTTCGTCCTGGTGGTGGAGTTCTACGGAAGCGAGAGAAAACCCCTGATCGCCTACCTCCCTCTCGCAGATGAGGGAACAAAGGTGTGGAGAGGTCCCAGTGACAGGCTGGAAGGGGTGGAACTGAGGTCTGCTCTTAAGTGGCCTCAGCAGAGATTTGGGGTGTGAGGGGATTTTGGAAACTAGCCGAAGGATACCGCTTCGTAGCTGTCTGACCTGGAGGGGTCACTTCTCATCTTTGCCCCTCAATTTCCTCTTCTGTGACATAGGAACAAGTATACCAACTTACCAGGAGAGAGGAAATGGGGCGGGAAGGGGACACTGGAAGCCCCAGGGGAGGCTCTGGTGAGACCAGTCCCTCTCCTGTCTGTCCTTTGAAACAGCTCTGCATATTCCTTCAAGCCCGGGGCCTGAGTGCAGGCTGATTCCCAGAACCCCTATTTCATGCCTGGCTGAAGCCCCAGATTTGCCAGCTAGTCAGCTGTCAGGCCTGGGGTTACAACCTTTTCTTACCTGCTGGCGGGAAAAGCGTTAGAACAATAATAACAGCTAATGATAACCAAGTCCTTTGGGCCTGTGCCCGGCATTCTCTCCCAGATGCCACCCTCAGAGCTGTCACCCACTTCCCTGGCCAGGATCTGTGGACACTCACCGAATTTGCCGGTGGGATGGCTTCCACCAGGCCGAAGAGGGACTGTCCCCATCGCCCCTGATTGAAGATCCGCAAGGCCTCAGTGACAATCTCCTCATAGCTCAGATGGCGTTGGGCCACGCAGGCCGTTGCTGCCAAGCCTACCACCAGCATGAGTGCCATCCAGGCCCGTGCCATTGTCCTTTCTCTGATCCACTGCCACTTGCAGTCCCTTTTAAATGCTACTCTGGCTGCCTTGCCCAAGGGCTTCTGGCGACATGCATGGCTGGTGCCTTCCTGAAAGTGGCCTCTCCTTTCCTGGCCAGACACCTCGTGTTGACCAACATTCCGAAATATCATTGGTTAAGAGGTGAGGAGGTTTGGGCAACAGGCCAGGGCCTCGGAGTGAGGCAGGAGGCCTGTGTGATGTTGGGCAAGTTCCTTCGCTCTGGTCCTCAGCATCCCACCTGTGCCATGAGGAGGCCGCCTCCAGCTCTGACAGGCCAGGACTCTGTGCTGTCTCTGCCTGGCTCTTCTGGTTTGAGCCCCAAACAACTGCCCAGAATGTAAATTCTGTAAATGGCAGTTCCTTAGCCAAGTGCACAAAGAGTTAGTCCAAGAGTTAGGCCGTGCTCGGGTTGACATTCACAGTGTCCCATACATTTTAAAAAATTGGTTGTCACCCTTTAAAAATCTGGATACCTGACTTCAAAAACATCATAAGATCTGACAATTCATGGGTCACAGTCCCTCGTGGCTGCGATGGCAGCAGCCTCTCCAGGAGAGCCTCACTATACCCCCTCCCCCTGGCTGGTCCCTGCAGGCAAGGCTGGGATGCTGTCCAGGACGGGATGGGGTGAGGATTCCCAGTTGTGGAAAAGGCAGCCTCGGCAGCAGCTTGGAGGGGGACCATCCTTCTCTCAAGGGCTCCCATTCCCTCATTACTGGGATCTGCCTGTTCACTTTCCAGCCCACCCTTCGCTGTGGGGCTCCTGTTCTCCTAAAGGAGACTCAGAAACTGGGCAAACGGAGGAGAGCAACTAAGGGCGTTCCCACCGAAGCCCACCGGTGGGGAAACCAAGGCCCAGAGCAGCTCATGACACTTCCTCCAAAAGCTAAGGGTAGAGCTGGGAAGGTCAGAGCCACAAGTAGAGAGAGGAGGCAGAGGACAAAGCAGTCCTCCTTAGGTCCAACAGGTCTTCAAAGCCCAAGTCTCATCTTAAAATCCGCACAGGCATGATGTTTAATGGTGAAAAACCAAAAACAACCTAAATATATTTCAAGAGGCTGTCGTTTAGAGAAATCATGGCGTGTCCACCCATGGAATACTGCTACTGCTTTCTGGAGCACACATCCATTTATGGGTGGTTGATTATGTTCATCATAGGTTCTTAGCCAAAGAATGAGGGTTCTACTGCAGCTGGTCGTGTGTCCATCACACGGAATGTGGATAAGGAAAGATGGTGGGTGTACACCGTGCAATTCTAGGCAGCAGTTAAGCAATGGTTCTCAACTGGGGTGATTTTATAAAATTCACTTTTTTTTTTTAATGCCTTCAGCATCTGGTCTTCCTAGGTGGTCTCCCATCCAAGTACTAACCAGGCCTGACCCTGCCTAGCTTCCGAGATCAGGCACGTTCAGGGTGGCATGGCCGTAGACAAAATTCACTTTTTTAAAGTGTACAAATCAGAACGTTTTTATCATCCTAAAAAGACATCTTGTGCCCATTAGCGGTCACTCGTCATTTTCCCCTCCTCTTTGCCCCTGGCAACTACGAATCTACTTTCTGTCTTTATGGATTTGCTTATTCTGGACATTTTATATGAATGGAATCATGTACTATGTGTCACTTTGTGTCTGGCTTCATTTGCTTAGCATGTTTTCAAAGTTCATCAATGTTGTGGCATGAATCAGTACTCCATTCCTTTCATGGCTGAATAACATTCCACTGTATGGATAGACCACATTTTGTTTATCCATTCATCAGCTGATAGACAAAAATGAGGTTTTTTTTGCTATTAGGAAAAGTGTCACTATGAATAACAATATACAAGTTTTTGTGTAAACATATGTTTTCGGTTATCTTGGATATATAGATGATTGATTGTTAGATGAATAATAGGTAATGATGATGATAGATACATAGATGATCGATGATAGAAAGATGATGATGATTGATAGATAATAATGATGATAGATAGATAGATAGATAGATAGATAGATAGATAGATAGATAGATAATACACATATAAATATAGATATATATACCTAGAAATGGAATTTCTGGGTCATATGGTAACTATGTTTAAGTTTTTGAGGACTTGCCAAACTATTTTGGCAAAAGCCTATAACATTTCCACCAGTGATCTGTGAGGGTTCCAACACTTCCACATCTTTGCCATCATTTGCTATGTCTCTCTTCTTTATTATAGCCATTCTAGTGGGTGTGAAGTGCTAGTCCATTGTGGTTTTGATTTGCATTTCCCTATGGAGTATCTTTTCATGAGCTTGTTATCTATTTGGATATTTTCTTTGGAGAAATGTCTATTCAGGTCCTTCGTGCATTTTTAAATTGGGTTATTTGTCCTTGTACTGTTGAGTTGTCTACAGTAAAATATTTCAAATATCTATCAGCGGGGAAAACCTCCACTAAAATCAGGACTTTAAATGCTATAGAATGTTTCTTTGGGGATTTTGCCGATACCCATTACCTGGCTCCCCATCAGTTTGAGAAGCTCAGATTGTCCCTAGCTTTGGCAGACGAGGAAAATGAAGCCTGGAAAAGTTAGGAAACGTGTCCTATATTATGCAGCTGAATCCTATGTAGAACAGTGAGAAACTAGGGAGCTTTACCTGGAGGAGAACTGTGACAAGGGGACCTCGATTCCCTACTCTGACTCCAAAAGGCACAAACAAGAGAACCACACTGTCCTTGGGGCCTCAGCGGATGAAGCCAGGACCTAAGATAGGACTCCTGGGGGAGACACGTCAACAAGAAAGGCCTCCTGACAATGGCTGGAGGTGGCTTAGGAGACACTGAACTGAGTCCGGACAACCACTTGGCAGGGAAATTGCAGGAGACCCAACTGCAGGGGCCGTCTGATGCCTGGCCTCTACAGCATTCATTTCCCCTCCCCGCTCTGCCTCCCAATCAGGCCTCAATTTCCCTTTGAGGATCTGGGGAAGGGACATTCGACTCAAGTCAGCTGGAGCCTTCGGTTTCCTCACCACCACCGGTGATTGTCCAGGGTGCGTATGTGATTAAGCCGGTCCACTTAGCACACATGTCAGAACTTTTGGTGGGAATGCCAGGCACTCTCTCTCCTCCTGGAAATAAACAAGGAAACGTGGCTAGATATGACAGAGAAGACATCTTGGGATGCGAGGCAGGCCCCTTAGATCAGCACCACGGAAGGCAGAGTGGAGAGCGTGATCCTTATGACATCACTGAGCTGCCGGGTCACACCTTGCCTGCAAGTGGAGGTTACTGTGTAAGCTAGTTTGAGTGGACTCTTCTGTTACCTGCACGTAATGTTGCAGCCGATGTAGGAATTCTGGCATCCATTAGAGAGAGGTGAGGACAGACCATGTAGCCCATAAGCTAGTTTGACTGGACTTTTCAGTTACCTGCAACGTAATGTTGCAGCCGATGTAGGAATTCTGGTATCCATTAGAGAGAGGTGAGGACAGACCATGTAGCCTTTATGATTCCATCAAATCGTAAGACTCTATGACACGTCTGAAGGTTTGAGGTTGGAAGGGACTAGTCAGGCCTGGGATCTCAGGTAGGGGGCTCTCAAGTCAAAGAAAGTGAAGTGAGGTTTTTTTGACAGGTAGACTTTACAGAGTACGAGTTCAAATGGTCAAGCTCTGCTATAGCTACATAAAAATTCTTTAATAGTTTGCGCTTGATCATTGACCCAGAGCAGCCCTGGGGCACAGCCATGTGAGCCCCACCTCAGTTTCACCATAAACTTGGGTTCAAATCCCACTTGCGCCACTTCCCCGCTGGTTTTTAGTCAATCTCTCTGGGATGCTGTGTCCTCACGTAAAGCAGAGATAACAACTCTTACCTTGTAAGGGTGGGGAGAGGGTCAAAGCTAAGGCGGGTGGAGGACCTGGGCCAGCACTGACGCAGAGGAAGCCTTAGGCATGGTGGCTTTTAGAGCAGTGATGGCTCAGGATATACAGCTGAGACTGTTAGCAAATGTGGAGCTCGCACCCCTCTAGGTTCTGACCAGGGGACTCCCCTGAACCTTATGTTGCAGGTGAGGAAACTCAGGCCTTAGAAGGTTAAGAACTGGGCCCAGGCACTGAGACAGTAAGCGGACATGCTGGGAGGTGCTGGGATCCCAACCTGGGGTAGTGGCATCCACCGTGCTGCTCTGCCTTCCGCTCTCAGCCTGCGGGAGCTCAGCCTCAGAGGACAAGGGCAGGATCCCAGGAGTCCGACGGGGACTTTCTCCAGCACTCACACAGCATGTGACTAGACCCTGGGGCCTGTGGTTGGGGCAGGAGGGTGGGTGAGGCTCTGGAGGGCACCCAGAGGATGCAGGGAGCAAGAAGTGACATCCACTCGCAGGAGGCAAGAGAGCCCATTCAGCTAAGTGGTTCTGCTCCACAGTGGTTTACCCAGCCAGCGCCACAGGCAGCTGCGACTTACGGCTCCTTCTGAATGTCCCCGTGGCTTCCACACTTCTCTGAGAAGATGGTTGAAGCAGAAAACTTTCATAAGAGCCAGGGAATTATGAAGAAGAAGCCCGGTGGGCCCTTGGGCAAGCCTCTGCCTTTCTGAGGCCTCAGCTTACCTCTTACTGTAAGGGGGTGGTCACGAGGGGGCACAGTACTCCAGGAACACTTAGCCCTTGCCCAAGTGGCCTATGCAAGTCAAGTAGAGTGGTGAAAGACTGTGGCCCCACTGGTCCGATGGGGACACACACCTGATGTTACAGAACCAGTAATGTGGACACAAGTTGCCACACTACCCACAGACAGAGATTTTGCCTAGGAAGGCCCTGGCATCCCAGCATTCCGCAGGTGACCTCAGCCCTGACCCAGCAGGTTTGGTACCTACTCCCCAAGGGGCTACCCTATCTCCAGGCTCTCACTGTAAAGGCCAGGATGTCTCAAAGTTCTGCCACGTTTGGCTGTGCCAATGCTCACTGCCTGGCACCAGGCAATTCAGGAGGCCCCATCTAGCCTGGACGCCCTCCCTTTCAGTGGCCTGAACCAGGCAGTTT